GAGTGAATTTTGGATTTATACAAAATGAAAGGCTTGTATTTTTCTCAGTGAACCTGGTACATTGTATCATCTGTGTAATATTTCCTGATAAGAGAGCACTATCCATACGCTATGTTTACCAGCCTTTTGTTACCAGTGCCAATCATAAACATTAACAACAATAAAATGAAAAAACGAAAAAGCCAAAATGAAATGTCTACGACAAATCCTAAATGTAAGTAGAAGCGAGAGGAACAGAAATTAGGATATCAGGAGAAAAGCTAGGGCAGGCCCAGCACTAAACTGCGTCAAGAGATGAAAGACCAAATGGTTTGGACATGGGTCAAGACTGCCACCAGATAGTGCACCATAGAGAGCCCAGTCAGTTAGATATAATGGAAGCTTCTAGAGGTCGACCACGCAAGCAATTGATAGATGAAATAACCAAGGCCGTAAATACCAGCATCTGCATAGCACATACCAAGGCTGGCACTTGATGCCTCTTCAAATGCTATCGCCGAAAAGCAGAACCGGACTAGGAAAGAAGAGGTCTTCCCTGACAAATGGGGACAAACCTGAGGATCTGTGCATGTTTAAAACCCCTACAGCATTTGATCTAGAGCAGCAGAATATGCAGGGATCATCTGATATCGACCACATTCATAATTATACATGGCATGTATGACTCATATGTGCACACATTTAGATTGTTGCTGGTGCTACAGAGTTTGTGCACTTTGTTATGTTTCTGCTTGGGTGATCTCAGGAAGAAACAGGAATACATGAAGATGGGGTTTTCCCCCTGGGAAATAAATGTGCAGTAGTCGCTGCATAGTGTCTGAAAAAATGCCAGTACTCACCACAGTGTCTGAAAAGATGCCGGTACTCACCACGGAGTGTCTGAAAAGATGTCAGTACTCACCACAGTGTCTGAAAAGGTGCCGGTACTCACAACAGAGTGTCTGTTTTAAATAATACTGTGGAAAACAGTTACATACCATCAGAAGAAAAATACCAGTCATATGGAAAGCACCATCTGTAGTAAAAGTGGTCCTTACTCACCAGTTAGTTGGTTGTCAGTTCTGTACTGTATTAAAACAATGACAACATTAAACTGGAATAGAACCCAAATGATGGAGTGCAAGGAAATGAGCAAGCTGATAGTCTTGCTGGTAAAACAGCTGTGAAGGGTAATGGAGCCATTTACCAGGCTGATATTCTGAATGCTCTACGAGAAGTAAGACGTTTTCGAGAACCAAGTGATGACCTGCTACCATGACCAGACTGCAAGAACAACATGCTAAAATAGCCGTGGAGCACTTTGCAGAAAGCCAAAGAAAAATATGAAAACAACACTTAACTGGTGTCGTCAGCTACTGGATGCTGCAGAATTGATTGAGAAGGGGATCTGAACACTTATAGGACAAATGTTTTGATGTAGAGTGAGGATAATTTGTTGATTAACTAGAACTCAGATGAAATGTCAGGCTGTCAGAAAAAAAGTCATTCAGTTGAACACTTCATATGTTTATGAAATGGAACAGCCTGTAACTCAGCTTAAGTATCTTCACCAGTACAGGATTGCAGATGACACCTGATGTGTGTAGGGGGCTAAGTAGTCTCCAGGTATGGCATCCTCCTTGAGTGCTGGAGGTCCTGGGTTCAAACCCCAGTGAAGGTTGGGACTTTTCACGTATACATCTAGTAATTTCCCCTGGTCTCTGGATAGTAAGATCAGACACCCATGTGTATTGTTGCACACGTAAAAAAGTACCTTGGCAGTTGGCAATCGAAAAAGAGTAGCCTAACGGTGCTGCCCAGGCAAAATTTGGAGTTAAGAATCTACAGAAAGTATTTCAGCATCCTCGCCTCCAGCAACTGAAATAAGCATTTACTACTTGCACATTTTTCTAGATTGTTGCGGGACTAGTTATTCGTTCACCATTTTTTCAGTTGCAGCAATGAGGGGACATTTTGCGCTGGCTCTGTAACAGTGCAAGAACGGGGAAACCTGATTGCAGTTATGTTGAAACCTCGACTAAGACAAGTGTGAGCATGCTTAAGAAGATAGAGACCAAATGGATTAGAAAAAAAGAATGGTTGGAGTGGCTAAGGAAAGGTCTGAAAAGAATTAGTTTTCATTTTTGTGACAGGACACTCTGGGGTAAGAAGGAATGAACGAGCAGATTGGCTTGCTGGCAGGGCTACGGTAGTACAGGAAAAGCAATGGACCGGGCCAACATTATCAGTGCTCTCAAAGAGGTTGAATGAGAAGGTGATTCAAGGAACAATGTTGAATTGGCATCACCCAAAAGACTGCAAGAACTTCAAATCAAAAGATGTTTTGCCAAACATGAACACTATACAGGTAGCGAAAGAAGAATAGTAAACCAACACAGAACTGGTGTTTATCAGTCACCACATGCTGATGAACATGCTGAAGATGGGATCCGAGCGCTTATGGATTTGTCCGTTGTGCAGTGAGGATAATTTTTGAAATAACTAACAGGTGTGGGGATAACAGGAAGAGGTGGACAAGAGAGGGTGTACAACCAGAATAAGAGACGTGTGTTGGAGATCCATTGTCAGCCAGCTTTCATGATAAAGATGGCACCTGGTAGATTGAGGGACAACATGATTGCACTTATCTGTAAAACTGTTTTAAAAGGATTGCCACACAAGTCAGTGATTTCAAACGAACGATTGAACAAACTTTATTTTCAAAGGGTTACAAATTGGGCAGGCAGGCCCTCTGACATTCGGAGCACTCATCTTTCAGAGTACCAATACCTGCTTTCAGTAACGAGAAGCTGATTATATACAATGATCTAAACATTGGGGGAGAACTGGCTCAAAACAGCATCCAGTCCTGAAAGCCGAAGTATTTTAGCTATGTTTAACATCATAGTGGCCTGGAAAAAGTGGTGATAGAGGGTTACGGCTTCAGCAAAACGAGGTCGAGGCCAACCTCTGTATACAAACATTAAAGAGGCATTGGCCATGAAAGTGCATAGAGCTGGAGAATTGGCTGCAGGAAAAGAGATTTTCAGGTGTGCTGTGAGGAATCGACGTTCTGAAAGCAACCTGTTGATTGCAGATGATTATATACACCAATAAGTGGCTAGAAGGTGAAAAAACTGAATGCTATACTGTTTGGTGAACAGTGATAAAATCATTTGCTTATGACTACACTGCTGTGTTGAAACAAATTGATCACTGGCTCCCCTTAGTGATTGGAAGTATTGAGAAGTTGGTTAGTTGCGTATCCTTTACAGGACGTTGCAGATCCAACCCAGCATTTTTTGGCTGTCGTGGTTTTCTAGGCACATTTTTTCAGTCAGTAGTATGCCATTGCAAATCTGAACAGTCAGCTCTTAGTATCACTGTTGAAACCAATGCAAGACAAATCGTCCGCAGCTAGGATCTAACCTGGTACTCCAGCATTATGAAGAAGGTTTGCAACGCCTAAGCCACAGACGCTGACGAGAAGTTGATTACTGACTATAAATTATTGCAGATAATGAGAAGCTGATTATTTACTCCACCAGAAGTTGAAAATAACATGTACAGCAGCGATAAACATTTTACAAATATTCTGTTTGAGCTCAGCAGTCATTAGAAAGGAAAGAAAACAGATTTACAAACAAACGTCACTTTTGTTCAGGCTCAGCAAATTCCTTCCTGAGTTGGTCACTGTTGTAAAGACTGGAAGGAATAATGTGCAAATCAGTACAGGGAATCTACAAACGATCTGGTGAAATTATGCATACAAAAAAAAAAACACACACAGTGGCTCTACATTCCTGTGTAGAAGAGGAACAGACAAGTAACACTAAGATATGGCTGCTTCTTCAAGGGGTAAGAGAATCTTAATGGAAAAAAGAACAGTGACAGGGGATGCCATGTGTGGCAAGACTTCCCTGTCTCTGCATTTGTTTCCCCCACTTAGCGGTAAGTTTTATCAGGTGTCTGTTGTACATGTTTGCTTCTTCATAACTATCCCTCTTCTACTTAAAGTTGTCAAAAACTGCCAGTTGCTGTCTGTATTTGCCAGTTTTTTTTTTTTTGGGGGGGGGGGGGGGTGTATCTTTTAGCCTGAGCATTTATGGCTGCATGACTAATGCTTTTGCGGCAAACCTCCCCCTCCCCCCCCCCCCCCACCACCAGGCAGAAACAATTCATGACCTTACCGATGATTCAAACCTGGGTCTCCCACATGTGAGCCCAGCCACCTTGACCAATCGGCCAGCCGCTCTTCCTCTCTGGGTTGCACAAGTACTGCTTAACTACATATTATTTAGTTTGCATAAATCTTTCCTCTCGTCAGCCTCCTGTTGTAGAGATAGCATATAGTATATTGTTCAACTTTCTTTTGAATATGGGGGTTAAGCCTGTTGGCACTTTAAAAAGTTATTTGTTTCTAGCCATGGTTTGCTGGTGCATTTTCCCCTGTTTCTGAACTGGCAATCCAGCTACTAACTTCAGTGCTTGGTGCAACACTACGAGCTGCAGATTTTATTTGGAATGTTATTTTCTGTTGGGCTGACAGCATTTTGTTGTTTTGGAGAAGAAGAAAAAAAAACGAACCCCAAAAAAAAACTTAAAAATAGCGTGTGACAGATTGCATTTAGAACAGTGATTTTATTGTAACTCACCCTATGTCTTATTATTATCTTGATTTGTTTAAAACTACATCAGTTGATTAATACTTCATTTGTTATTCCTATTACCTACCTGTTGTAAATGGTATCCATGATTTCTGGTAGAAATCTTATACATGATTTCTGATCACAATGTAATCCCATGATTTCTAATGAAAGTGTAGGCCTATTATTTCTGATTAAAGTGTAATCAGTATTTCTATTTAAAATTTAAACCTGTAATTACTGATTAAAATTTAATCAGTAATTACAGGATTAAATTTTAATCCCATGCTTTCTGAATGAAATGTATTCCCATGATTTCTAATTGAAAGGTTATTCCATGAATTCTGTTTGAAAACGTATCCCATAATTTTACAGACTTGACCCTAGACCAGATCCCCGCTATGAGTCGAGGTTCCACCAGCCCAAAGAGAAAGATGATGAATTCAGGAGTGTAAAGAGAAGAGATGGGGAAAAAAAGAAAGAGTTTGATGACAGACGTGGAAGTGTCGACATTAGAGGTCGCAAGGAATATGTGAGCGATCGGAAATGGGAGGATGAGAAGAGAGAAGAACGAGGGAAGGAAGAAACTTACGATTTGAGGCAGGCTCTGGAGAGACGTCGGAGTGACAAAGAAGAGTAAGTTTGTGGTGTATGATCTTTATTTCATGGTTTTCTTTTCTTTTCACATTTAGATATCCTTTGAGTTATGAGTTAGATTATTATCTTCACAGCACTCCGGACACATCCAAACCTCTGTGTGCTTCTCATGTATGACCTTGCCGGTCCGTGCTCGAGGTAAGCCAAAGAGAAAGATGATGAGATGGAGAGAGATGAAAAAAAGAAAGAGTTTGATGACGCTAACTAGGCCTATGACAGACAGACTAACCTACAACACACACTGAACCCGAACGCACACAGAGCACACACGACAATCTTTATTGGAAGTACAGGTAATACATAGACAGTTGACTTCCCGCCGTGTGGCCACCTATTGCCTGGACCCTCTGGCTGGACGGGCTTTACAATCGCCCCGTCCCCAGTACGTGCGACAGGCAATACTCTGGTGTACAAACCACAATCCGGCAGGATACGCTCTCTTCTATCGCCACGCTGACCCAATCAAACTGTCACAGTCTCTGTCTTAGTGCAGGGTCAGAGTGTCCAGGTTAGCCACTCTCTCACAGCACATATACATAAATACTCTACACAAGAACTATCCTATCCTAACACAAAACTGTACATAAACTATCCAGTCACTAACAGAAATATATCCTAACTTTAATACTATAACATAAACTATCCAGTCACTAAACGTCCTCTCTTCCTGACCGACGCACACCGAATGTCCCTTCTTCCTTCTACCTCGTGTCTCTTAACCCCGTTCACCAGCTCAGTCCCAGAAGCAGTCATCGTGTTACTAAAACACAGTTCAGGCTTTCTTGCTTTATCCTGAGCGCTGGTTTCGCCGTGCGATCACAGAACGGACTTGACCAGTGACGGCCCTGACCTCTGTGTCAACCCTGGGTGCACACCTTACGGTGTGGTACACTGACTGTACTTAATAGGGTTGTGACATTCACCCTTCCTCTGAACTGATACTTCCTGACAAAGTCAAGTATCAGCAAAGCATGGCCTGCCATCATGTACAGTCATGTTTTTAAATTTTATCGTCAATATTTAGTTACCTAAAAAAAAAATATGTCATGTACTTTTGGGTCAATCACCTAAGGACAAACTATCTGGCACATATTTAATGGGTATATACATTCAATGGGTAAGCTCCTCCCTAATGGGTAGAAATGGTATCAGCCCTTGACACAAATACGTCACTACTCATTACACCTTCAAATCATATGGGTAATGATATAAATAATAATTTGGGTGGACACTCAAATCGTCCGGGACCCAATTACACCTTACTTCACTTACTGTGCAAGTAAGACGCCACTGTATACACTCCCAAGCCGTTTAACCAACGACACCGTGATTTATAACAGTGGGCGTCATGGACTGTCTCCACAAAGACTTATCCATGGTTGTGAAAAGGAGTCATGACCTGACTCCCCGACCTACAGTCGTATAATGTGTCCGCGAATCCGCAGTACCTGCCAAGACACAAATCACCCCATATGACCCACAGTGCAAAATAGGCAGTAAACAAATCTGTGGCCAGTTGGACACACTCCCATCCTCCAAGGATAGTGCTACTCCTCAAATGTAGTCTCCATATATGCGATACTAGTTACACCATCATTAACTCTCCATGTGAGTGCCCTTGTAAAAGTACAATCTAAATTTCATTTAACCTGTCCATCATCAATTTTAGAAACCAATAAAAAACAATTAAAAGAGAAAAAAAAAAAATAAAGAAAATTTAAAGAAAATTTCGTTGTCACTGCTAAACTAAATTGTCAGTTATTTTAAAGTCTACTAGTTTACAAAACTATCTACTCATAATGCACTATTGTCTAACATATACTTTAACAATTACATTTAGTGCACATAGGACACTCAATATTAAACTCAATGAAACCTTCAATAAAAATAATGGATATCAGATTAAGTTTCAAAAAAAACCGAAGAATATTATTATTGCAATTCAAGAATTTTAAAACAAAAATAATTGCAAATCAAACAATTAACATTACTTATGTGATCTAGCCAAAAATCTTTAGCAAAGAAAAGAAAAGAAAATTTATTTGCCAAATGGATTGTCCCACAAATAATTTTACACTGAAAATAAATAAGTAAAATACATACATAATAATTTCACACACAAAAGTCATTACACTATATTCATTCCAACAAAACAATAAAATTTACAAATCAAAATAAATAAGCAAATTATACATGAAATAATTTTTAAACTCAAAATTATTTCCCTTTTATAAATACCACCTCAATAGTTACAAATCAAAATAAATAAGAAAAATAAATACCGATAAATTACTCATCATAGATACCAACACAATAATTACAAATCAAAATAAATAAGAAAAATAAATTTAGATAAATTACTCATCATAGATATCAACACAAAAGTTACAAATCAAAATAAATAAGAAAAATACACAAATAAAAATTGTGCGAATGAAATTGAATGAATAAACTTATCAATTCAAAACCAAATAATATACATGAAAGAAACATATAAAACATATAGCACATACAGAACATATAAAACATATATAATCCATCCAACATATATTATATTAAAGATGAACATAATAAGATTAACTTATAATATGACAATCACAACATAGAATTCTATTCTATACATTCATTCCCTTTTATTCCAATTACACTCTTCTTTCATACATCACATTTTCCATTCTGCTGAAGTCCTTAGAATGATCATCACCTCTATCTTCCTGTTGGGTAATCTTTTACGATTGTTCAGTTCACTGGTTTTAGGCTAGAACAGTACTTGTATACACTGCTACTTGACAACTGGATCTATGAAACTTGGTGTAGAATTCCGTTATGAGACAGTTTCTAGTCATTCAAGAAGGCATGAATATATGAAGACAATGTTTCACACAGTCTTTAAATTTCTGAAGGTACCAGACTGTCAATTTCAGGATACCACTAGGCAATCAATAGTTTTACAGCCGGCTTAATAGGTCAGCCGGGTTGTTGCTGTTGCCCTTGTTGTAAGTGATTGTGAATTGGAAATCTTGCAGTAGCAGTGCCCGTCTGGTGATTCTATTGTTCTTCGGCGCACCAGACTTAGTGACGAGCAATGGCTGGTTGTCCGATTGTAGGACAAAAAGTCTGCCCAGGAGGTAACGATTGAGTCTTGTCACACAGACAATCACTGCAGGACACTGTACATAGTGTACCTGGGCTGGAGACAACCTACTGCTCACACAGCAGTTTGGGTGTAACATCTCGCCATCCCACTGCATCAGACATACCGCAACTGCCGTACCACTGGTATGATATCTGAGAACAAATGGTAATATGATATTAGACAGATTTAAAATAGGGGAACTGGAGAAAAGAGTCTTGATTTTGGTGAAAGTATGATCTAGTTCTCGGTTCAACTCAATTGTATTGGAATGCTCCCTTTTTAATGGTTTAGTGAAAAATACATTTTCCTGGATAATGTTCAAGGTAAATTGGTTGTAATGATTGATGAGGTCGAGTAAGCTTCGGATCTCCTTATTGTTGGTGGAGTTTTTAAGATTCAAAATTTTGGGAAGATCTGTAAATCCAAAATGTTGTATTCCTTGAACATCAGATAATCTATAAGGCATCATTAATAAACATGCACATGTCAACAGTATACATTGCAGTATCAGAAATAATAAAGTATGTTTTATTTTGACCGGTTTGTTGATTATTAATTGTAGATGCTGGTAAATGTGTGTACATCTGCCTGGCACATCAGAGAGAACATTATCAATTTCAGCTTTCTGTGTAGATGTTTCTGAAATTTGTTGGGTAATATTAGGTGTAAGGGTTTGTTTGGTTGCAGGTAAGTCTTGTAGGACAGACAAGAGAATATCTGTCGTATCAACTACATTAGAGTCAGGAATGACAGTTCTATTATGGAACTCCTCAACCACTAATTTGTCAGTTGGTTTAGAAGGGATTGGTAACAGTTCTTCCGAATAAACATTATCGGGAGAGATTTCAATTGTTTTATTTGTGTAGAAATTCTCTGAAAGGTTTGTTTGAGTTGATGTGTTGACAGTAAAAATATTTTTCATACATACACTTTCATTCACATCACTCTCTCTCACGGACTGCTGTCCAGTTACAACATTGCAAGTTATGTTGTCCCTCTGCCACTCGATTATCTCACTTTCAGAGACATCCTTTACATTTTTACAGTTGCCAAGGATAATATCAGCAACAGGGTCTGCCAGCACTGCAAATTTTGTTCTACCTGTGCAGTGAGCTGATTTTAGATTGGCCCATGCCAAATCATACTTTTCTTTCTTCCCTGAAAAGGTTCGACATACAATATATTCACCCGTCAAATCACACGCATTCACTAGACTTTCTCTTATACCAAAAACTGTCGACCCAGAATCCCGTAAAATTGTCACTACTTTTCCATTAACTACCCCTTTCGTGAACTTCAGCTGGCCATCGAAACTCGTTACCGCATTTGCATCCCCTATCTCACTGTGACCACAGGTCAGATTACCCTCTTCATTAAACCCTCTGTAGGTCTGGCATCCTGTGTCAGAGAAGTTCACAAGCTCAGCTGAATTTGCTGTAGGTACATCTGCCATACTCCCATCAGAGAACCTACTTCCAGAGTCACTGCCACTGTCAGATATTTCTGCAGCTGCACTCTGATGCTGTCTTCTTCTCATCTTACAGTCTTTTTGTAAATGATCAATCGAGTCGCACAGGCGACACTGGAGTGGGTAGTTTACTGAGCTTTTCTCATGCATTTCTTTCTCCCTCTTACGAAAATGCTCTTCATACTTTGGGTTCATTTCGCACCACTGTCGTTGACCATGATCTCTTTTACAGTATAGGCATGTAACTATTGGACCTTTATCTCTTACAGGTCTGTAGCTCTTATACTCTTTTGAGTATTCTCCTTTCTTCTGAGTATATTGCTTTTTCCTGTATACAGGTTGTACTGCAGCTCCGTAGCCGATGTCTGCACCCTTATTGAAACTAAAAATGTTTCTGTGTGCATTCCAGTATGCAGCACCTGCATCTTCCATCTGCTTTACTGTTTCAGGTTTTTGCTCAATCAAAAACGTCTTCATGCTGCTCGGGACACTTGACAACACCTTGTCTCTTATCAGTAGATCTTTTAACAAATCGTATGATTTGTTCACTTTCGCCGATGTTACCCACTTGTCGAAAGTGGATACCACCTCAGACATATAATCCAGAAATGTCTGTTCAGCTTTCGGAATCAAATTTTTAAAGGTATTTCTGTAAGATTCCTCATCTAGGGAGAAGTGTTGGAGAATTCTATCCCTGACAAAGTAATAATCTTCAAGTTTTCAGTAGGGATTGTCTCTAGTAATTTCAAAGGTTCACCCCCTAGATGTTTTCGGTAAATTAGTGACCACTCTTTAAAAGGGACCTCATAGTGATTGACCATACATTCAAAATTTTGTGTCCAAGCAGATATGGAATCACCCTGTGTAAAAAATTTTATTAGGCCCTGGTACTTTTTGAAAGAAGGTTCAGCAGCCTTTATCTCAGCCTTACGCATCTGCACCTCGGCATCTCTAGTTGCTTCTATCTCTTTGGCCTTTAGTTCCATCACCAGCCTTTCTTTCTCTAGGTCTGAATTGCATATCATCTCTTTGAGTCTCAAGGTAGAGGTGTGTTCTAGCTCTTTGTCCTTTATCAACAACTGTACCCTGTCTCTCTCAGCCATCGCAGATAACTCCTGTTGTTTAAGAGCTACATCTTTGTCTTTTAATGCCGCTTGGGCTTCCAGCTTCTCTGCTTTTTTGCCGCTTGGCTTCTAACTGTTTTTTCTAGCCCTCAATCTCCTTTGTTTTTCTTCTACTTCTAACTGTTTTTCTATGTTAATAGCCTCGAATTTAGTTTACTAGCGGCTTCTAGTTCCAATTTCTTGAGTTCTCTCTCGTCAGCTCTGTCTTTTCTCTCTTGAAGATCGGCATATTTTCTGTCTGCCCATTCTAGCGCCTTCTCGCCAGTCAGACCATGCTGTTTTTGCCATCTCGATAAATCAGCGAGACTCGACATCTTAGTTACAACAACAGTGATCTTTCGTTCAAAATAATAATCAACAACCACTCAACAAATCACCTGACTAACCGTAACTGCCACGAACAAAAATACTAAAAATTACAAGTGGCAAGCCCGGAAATCAGTGAAAACAATGCAAATAATATAGCAAATTAATAAATGCAATACAAAAATAATAATAATTATGGAACAATTTGGACTGTTCCGATACAGAAAAGGGATGGGTCACCGAAACTTATTCGTTACAATTTCCGAATGAGGGATGATGATGTGTGTGCACAAAAAAAAAAATTAACACAGAAATGAACAGCACTAGTATCACTACGTGGAAAACAATTTCACACACGAAAACACCTCGAAGAAATTATTAATCTCTAAATCAGACGGTACACGCACGAACGATAACGTACTATTAGATAAACACTTATTGACAGGAAAGCACAACGATTGGACAATAACTATTTACAAACAAGACGCTACAAGCATATATCTTGACAATAGACCCGGCTGCAAAAGGAGTTGCAGACGAGACTAGAATCGCAATATAGCTGACACGTAATCTTATGTTAATCCTAGCAACACTAGACAACTAGGGACAACACAAGACTACCTGCCAACCACCCACCAAAAATAACGTAAATGATGAATAGGACAGACGAGAAATGAGAAGGACAATGAACGGTGACAGGGGCTCAAATACAATTGCGTAGAACCCTCGAGGGCTGGAGAACAGACCACAACAATACACCAAAAGCAAAACAAACTTATCTTCTCTCCAGTCCTTGATTCTTGGCCTCCCACAGAAAGAATGATGAGGATGATGATGATGACCGAGAACGACAGGCCTCGGTTGATCGGTGTCGGCAGAAACCACACAACAGCACACAATCTTGACCTTCCTCACACTTTTTACTGTCCGTCAAACTATTTCTCCTCTACGTCACTAACTTGTCACGACGCAAACGCAGCCCTATCACATTTAGTCATTATTAATTACATTCCGTCGGAACAAATACGAAAACGAAAACAAACTATCACTTTATAGCGCTACGAGTGACCCAAGCCAACCCCGATGTCGCTATCAATAATTAAGAGTAGGCCCGGACAACGATGCAATATTTAAGAGAATAAACTCAGCAACGCTATCACAAACTTACTCGATAGCAACATCAAAATTAAGGGATTAACTCAATCACGTTAGCCCTACAATAGTGAACGACAAAACTTAAAGAAAAATAAATCAGTCAGCTAAACATACAAACTAATCTGTGTCTCCTATTTAGACAAATAAATACAAGCACATTGGGTTCACAATTAACGCGGACAACTATTACTATCTAGCTACTACTATAGATTCAATTCCCAAGGACGAACGCCCCCATAATCTGTCACAAACCTCTGGTATGACCTTGCCGGTCCGTGGCTCGCTAACTAGGCCTATGACAGACAGACTAACCTACAACACACACTGAACCCGAACGCACACAGAGCACACACGACAATCTTTATTGGAAGTACAGGTAATACATAGACAGTTGACTTCCCGCCGTGTGGCCACCTATTGCCTGGACCCTCTGGCTGGACGGGCTTTACAATCGCCCCGTCCCCAGTACGTGCGACAGGCAATACTCTGGTGTACAAACCACAATCCGGCAGGATACGCTCTCTTCTATCGCCACGCTGACCCAATCAAACTGTCACAGTCTCTGTCCTAGTGCAGGGTCAGAGTGTCCAGGTTAGCCACTCTCTCACAGCACATATACATAAATACTCTACACAAGAACTATCCTATCCTAACACAAAACTGTACATAAACTATCCAGTCACTAACAGAAATATATCCTAACTTTAATACTATAACATAAACTATCCAGTCACTAAACGTCCTCTCTTCCTGACCGACGCACACCGAATGTCCCTTCTTCCTTCTACCTCGTGTCTCTTAACCCCGTTCACCAGCTCAGTCCCAGAAGCAGTCATCGTGTTACTAAAACACAGTTCAGGCTTTCTTGCTTTATCCTGAGCGCTGGTTTCGCCGTGCGATCACAGAACGGACTTGACCAGTGACGGCCCTGACCTCTGTGTCAACCCTGGGTGCACACCTTACGGTGTGGTACACTGACTGTACTTAATAGGGTTGTGACAGTAATAATCATGGGACAGTCAGTTCCAAAACATATATAAAGGTTTTATGCTACTACCTGCCATTGTTTTAATATGATGGAAAGCATAGCAAACGCCTAAAGATTACATATCCCTAAACCTAGGATCTATGTCTGTATCCTCTTCATGTCACTGTTGACACATAAGGCATTCACAAGTGATCTCCATTGCTGCCGGTCTGCTGCTTTTCTGCCCATGGTATCCCATGTCAGTTTACATTCCTTCATTTCCTGTTCTATTGTCCTTCACCAGGTTTCCTTAGGTCTTCCAGATCTTTAGGCAGGCCTGGGTGTCCAATTCTCAACCCTTTGAAATGGGGAGGGGGAATCGGCTGAGTGGTCTCGAGGCATGGCGTCCGCCTCGAGTGCTGGAGGTCCTGGGTTCAGGCGCCGGTAAAGGCTGGGATTTTTTCACGTGGACTTCTAGTAACTTCCCCTGGTCTCTGGGTAATAAGATAGGATGCCTGTGTGTATAGTTGCGCACGTAAAAAATCCCTTGGCAGTTGGAAATCGTAAAAGAGTAGCCTAACGGCACTGCCCAGGCAAAATTAAGAGTTTTAAATCTACACAAAGTATTTAAGTATCCTCGCTTGTGCTATGGAGTTTGTGCACTGCGCTGAGATTCTTTGGGCTCAGGTTTGAGTCAGAAGTAGAACGGAGAACTTATGGGTTACTACCGTTGTACCATGATGTTGATCCATCTTCTAAACTGTATTAACCCTTTGAAAATAAAGTTCATTCATTCTTTGTTTCCTGTCTTCCACAGTGTGCTTTCCTGACTGATTTTCTTTGTCTTTTCTTCCCCTTATTTCTCTGATCTAATTTTTAATGTTGCATTTCCAGAGGTTTTCGATTTGAAGTCAGACGTGACAGTGTCCCAGCAGAAGGTGGGTATTACGTGGACAGTCAGCAGGCGGGTCCCTCTAACGTGGATCAACGCAGGTTTCCCTACAAAGAAGCACCGGGTCGTAGTGTGGTTGTAGATGAGAATCGAGCCAGGAAACAGTTTGGTGGCAGTGTTGCTAGAGATCACGACTCGTCTTGGAGTGGGAGGAGGTTTAACGATGAGCAAGGACATGCAGCAGGGAACAGAGGCAGGTATGTTGTCAGACTTGCTTCAGATCTGGGTTGGTCTTGTTCTCTTTTACCGTTTGTACAAGTGACGTAAATGCATTGTGCCTTTTTTACAGCATAGCTGTGATATCTGTGCCTTTTGACTGACACATCCAGATTTCTTTGGGCATCTCTTATACAGGGTAAGCCTTAACAGTTAGTTTGATGGGACATTCATAGTCTCATATGTGTGGCGACTCGCATCCCCTAATCCACAGGTGATGTCACTAGGTGACCTCGTTCAGGGCAGCTGCATGCAGAATGGTCAACCCTCAAGGGGAGGCAGGGAAAGACCATGGGTATTCCCTGTCACCTAGAGGGAGGCCTTCATAAATGCAAAACCCATCCTTGGTGCTCTGATACTGATCTGGCTGAAGAAATGTTCATGTCTTGCTCATGACTGCTTAACCTCACATCCATATATTGGGGCCTTTCACTCATTACACTTTAAAGATCCCCTGGATGCCGTAGTCAGAGCCTTATCTGATGGTAACTAAGGTTTGTTTTCCTAGTTTCAGGTGTCTAGAAGAATAATCCTTACACAAATGCACAAAGCTTCAGTATGATACTGGACTTCAGGCAAAACAAAGTTTGGTATCTGTCTTCTTCAAGGCATGTTCATGCACATATAAAGTACTGCATGTGCCTGGTACAGCCTTCAACTGGGCAAAAATGCCTTGAAAAACCCCCCATACAAATAAGCAGATCTGTAAAACAGATGTGCATGCAAGACTAAAGTCTGGAGATGGACAAACAAAGCAGTACTTTCCCCTGGAGTTTACAGCCGGTGAAGACGAAGAAGAAAAAGAAGTATACAAGACCCACACATTTCATAAATAGAAAATATTGATAGGGTGAGCTCTTACAAAATGAAGCATTTAAGAAAAAGTGGTTCAGGTAAGAAAAAAAAATAGTTAGATAAAGGTGTGCTGAACTTAGCTCCCTTCACGGCTAAAAACACCAAAAATAAATGAGGTTGTCCAAGAAGAGGCTACAGAACAATACTAATGATTAATAGTTGTCTGCGTCAAACAGATGCCTATCTTCATATGGCTCAGTCCTTGAAAGGGGAGTTCTTAGTGCTGGTTGTGGGGGGGAGGGGGGGGTTGTTCCATTTTTTTAGGGAGAAGATAAGAATAGACCCATGGTATCTTAATGAGATTGGTGTAAAAGACTGCTGATAAAGTTAGCTGAAATTAAATGTGTCTGCCCCAAAGGGCAGCTATTGTAGTCAGGCTGTAAACCTCAACATAACATGACGCAGAAATAGAAGAAAGATAAGCAAAGAGGACAACTTTCTTCTCTTTAGATGTGGTACTTGGGCACTAAGTTGAGAAATGTTTGTTATGGGCTGTGATGTCATTACAGGAGAAGAGAATGGAGTCTTGGGACAGGAGAGACAGATGGAGCCGTGAGAGAAGATGTGGCAGATTTTAGGGATGGGGACAGTGGCTTTGACAGGCGACGAAAATACAGCAACAGTCCTCCAGCCACAAGAGGTCAGTCTCTTGTGTGATGGGATTAGTGTCTGTGATGTGATAGCATTTGTAATGTGGTTAGTCTCTGTAATATGGTTAGTATTAATATGATTAGTGATTGTAATGTGGTTAGTGCCTGTGATGTGTAAGCATTTGTAATGTGGTTAGTGCCTGTGATGTGATAGCATTTGTAATGTGGTTAGTGCCTGTGATGTGATAGCATTTGTAATGTGGCTAGTCTCTGTAATATGGTTAGTATTAATATGATTAGTGATTGTAATGTGGTTAGTGCCTGTGATGTGTAAGCATTTGTAATGTGGTTAGTGTTAGTAATGTGGTTAGTATTAGTGTGATTAGTGATTGTAATGTGTTTAGTGGTAATAATATGCTTAGTATTAGTGTGATTATTGTTAGTAATGTGGTTAGTATTAGTATTATTATTGTTAGTAATGTGGTTAGCATTAGTGTGATTAGTGATTGTAATGTGTTTAGTATCTGTAATGTTAGTGCCTGTGATGTGATAGCATTTGTAATGAGGTTAGTCTCTGTAATGTAATAGCCTTTTTAGTGTGGTTTGCTTGTAATATGTCTAGTGTCTGTAATGTGGCTACTGTCTGTGATTTGGTTGGTGTCTGTGCTTGGTAAGTGTCTGTAATTTGTAAATGATTAGTGTCTATAATTTGGCTAGTGTCTGTAATGTAGTTAGTCCCTGTAATGGGGCTAGTGTCTGTAATGTAGTTAGTCCCTGTAATGGGGCTAGTGTCTGTAATGTGGTTAGTCCCTGTGATTTGGTTGGTGTCTGTGCTTGGTAAGTGTCTGTAATTTGTAAATGATTAGTGTCTATAATGGGGCTAGTGTCTGTAATGTAGTTAGTCCCTGTAATGGGGCTAGTGTCTGTAATGTAGTTAGTGCCTGTAATGTAGTTAGTGCCTGTAATGTAGTTAGTCCCTGTAATGGGGCTAGTGTCTGAAATGTAGTTAGTCCCTGTAATGGGGCTAGTGTCTGTAATGTAGTTAGTCCCTGTAATGGGGCTAGTATCTGTAATGTAGTTAGTCCCTGTAATGTAGTTAGTCCCTGTAATGGGGCTAGTGTCTGTAATGTGGTTAGTCCCTGTAATGGGGCTAGTGTCTGTAATGTAGTTAGTCCCTGTAATGGGGCTAGTGTCTGTAATGGGGCTAGTGTCTGTAATGTGGTTAGTGTCTGTAATGTAGTTAGTGCCTGTAATGGGGCTAGTGTCTGTAATGTAGTTAGTCCCTGTAATGTAGTTAGTCCCTGTAATGTGGTTAGTGCCTGTAATGTAGTTAGTCCCTGTAATGGGGTTAGTGTCTGTAATGTAGTTAGTCCCTGTAATGTGGTTAGTGCCTGTAATGTAGTTAGTCCCTGTAATGGGGCTAGTGTCTGTAATGTGGTTAGTGTCTATAATGTGGTTAGTCCCTGCAATGTTGTTAGTGTCTATAATGTGGTTGCGACTGTAATGTGGTTGTGTCTGTAATGTGGTTAGTACCTGTAATGTGGTTAGTCCCTGTAATGTGGTTAGTGTCTATAATGTGGTTAGTGTCTATAATGTGGTTAGTGTCTATAATGTGGTTAGTACCTGTAATGTGGTTAGTCTCTATAATGTGGTTAGTGTCTATAATGTGGTTAGTGTCTATAATGTGGTTAATGTTTGTGATGTTGTTAGTACCTGTAATGTGGTTAGTGTCTATAATGTGGTTAGTCCCTGTAATGTGGTTAGTGTCTGTGATGTGGTTAGTACCTGTAATGTGGTTAGTGTCTATAATGTGGTTAGTACCTGTAATGTGGTTAGTGTCTATAATGTGGTTAGTGTCTATAATGTGGTTAGTGTCTATAATGTGGTTAGTGTCTATAATGTGGTTAATGTCTGTGATGTGGTTAGTGTCTGTAATGTGGTTAGTGTTTGTAATGTGGTTAATGTCTGTGATGTGGTTAATGTCTGTGATGTGGTTAGTGTCTGTAATGTGGTTACTGTCTGTAATGTGATTGTGTCTGTAATTTGGTTAGTGTCTGTGGTGTGGTTAGTGTCTGTGGTGTGGTTAGTGTCTGTGGTGTGGTTAGTGTCTGTGATGTGGCTGTGTCTGTGATGTGGTTAGTGTCTGTGATGTGGTTAGTGCTTGTAACGTGGTTAGTGCTTGTAACGTGGTTAGTGTTTGTGGTGTGGCTGTTGTCTGTAACAGTTAGCGTCTGCACATGGTTATCACGTTCACACACCAGGCGCATTGCTGTATTTATCACGGATAGTATTGGATACTTTGAAATTTAACAATTTTAACATCTGTCCATTGTTTGTGATTGCCTCAGGTTGGAGGGGAGGCTACAGAGGTCGTGCTAGGGGTCGTCCACGAGAGTTTGTTCCCTTTGAGCCAGATTACCCTCTGCCAACAGTTATCAATGGTAATGTTTGTGTGTTTCGTCTGTCTTAAGAAAAGGGGGGGGGGGGGGGTGACTTGCTGCTCAGCTAGCACATGTTGATGATAGTTTTTCCTGACCGCTTTAAAAGCGTCATGACCTTTCATTGTCCAGATTTTAAACATTAATATCAAAGTTTCTTATAAATAAACAGAGGGAGAACCTCTGTAGATGTGGTTATAATATCATTGTTATCATGATATGTGGTTATATTGTCATTGTTATCATGATATGTGGTTATAATGTCATTGTTAAGTTATCATGGTTATAATGTTATTGTTATCATGGTACATGGTTTTAATTTCATTGTTACCATTATACATGGTGAAAATCTCAGAGTTATTTTGATACATGGTTAAAATGTACTTGTTATCATGATATGTGGTTATAATGTCAGAGTGTATATCACAAAAATATCTAGCCACTAGAGTGTTTTGTGTGTGTCAGTATTTTTTCATTAACCCTAATTGTCTCCCCCTTTTTTTCAGATACTTTCCAATACTCACAAGTAAGGATTTGTTTCTGTATTATGTGACACTCTAATTTTAATCCGTTTGTAGTACAGTTGCCATGGACTTAAGTAATTATTATGTGCGATTCTGGAATAAATACGTCTGGATCCTATCTGAAGTTCAGATTTTGTAGTCTTACAAGATTCCGTTTGTTATCTTGTGTGTGAGATTTAAAGACTCCTATAGGTATGCTCAATGAGGCAGTGGCAGGAAAAAAGTCTTTGGGTAGATTTTTAACTCCAAATTTGTGATTGGGCAGCGCCGTTAGGCTGCTCTTTTCAATTTCCAACTGCCAAGGAATTTTTTACTTGCTCAACGGTACACACGGGTGTCTGATCTTACTATCCTGAGACCAGGGCAAATTACTAGATGTCCACGTGAAAAAATCCTAGCCTTCTCTGGGGCTTCAACCAGGGACCTCCAGCACTCGAGTAGGACGCCATGCCTCAAGACCACTCAGGCCCCCCCCCCCCACACACACACACACACACACACACACACACACACACACACACACATGTAAAATCTAAGCTTGTGTTGCCCATTTGGTTGTGTATATATTTATGTCAGCTATATTTACATGCAATGTAGAACCTGTGTTAAGTGCAAGTAAGACATGGACAGCAAACCGATAAGTGGAAAACATCTGCTGCTAGTAGAAGTGAGGTATTTAAAAAAGAATCTGAAGAATATCATGGAACTGTCGATAAACAAATGAGGTAGTCTTTATCGGGGCCAATGGAAGTCGTATGATTAGAATAAAATGTAGATAGGAGTTTTTCGGACATGTTATGAGAAAGTATGTTTCGGACATGTTATGAGAAAGTATGTTTCGGACATGTTATGAGAAAGTATGTTTCGGACATGTTATGAGAAAGTATGTTTCGGACATGTTATGAGAAAGTATGTTTCGGACATGTTATGAGAAAGAATGTTTCGGGCATGTTATGAGAAAGTATGGACCCAAGAACTTGGTTACAACTGGCAAGATTGATGGGAAAAAATAGCAAGGGGAAGGAAAACGGATAAATATATGGATGGCTTGGCCATACGGATGGGGTTGAGACAAGGGCACTGGCCTGATCTGTGATTCTGGTGATCATTTGAAATGGTGAAACATGGCCGCCGAAGCTTCTGAGCAGGCACATGATGATGATGGTATTTGTTTTCCAGCATGATGATCGTGGTGTTTCCCCACGGCCTTTCAGGAGGGGAGGTTTTCGGGGCCGCTTTGGGCCTCGCAACTTTGGTGGCAAAAATTTCCGAGCTATGACTCGGGGCTCTCGAGGTGGATTTAGAGGCTTCAGAGGAGGAACTAGAGGACGAGGGTTCGGGTCTCAAGGAGACAGGCGTAAGTTGAGTGTGATTCATCTTTATGTTCTTACAGTCTTATTTAATGATACCTGTGCACATAGAAGAGGATGCAGTGGTTAAGTAAGTTATCTAGTGACACCCCTACACCCCAGGGTAGTAGAGGATTGACTAAGTTATTTAGTGCTACCCCTACACCCCAGGGTAGTAGAGGATTGACTAAGTTATTTAGTGCTACCCCTACACCCCAGCTGAGCCCCCATTCTGGACAGGTAAAGAAGTACAGAATAAAGAGAGAGAGAGAGATACCCTGATCCTCCAGTTAGGGAGTTGAAGCATGTGGCCGACAGTGAATCCTAAATGTGGACAAGAGGAGACAGGATCAATAATAATGATATCAGGAAAGAAGTTTGTGAGGATCCAGTGTGAAACTGCGTCAAGAGACGAAAGAGCAAATGGTTTGGACAGGTGCAAGACTATCACCAGACAGTGCAGCACAGAGATAATGGAAGCAGAGCCAGAGGTGGACCATACAAGCGAGGGATAGGTGGAATAGTCGAGGCTGAAAATACCTTCATCTGCATAGCATATACCAAGGCTCCCACCCGATGCCTCTTCGAAACTGGAGTCTGAAAGACGCAACAGAAGAAGAAGAAGATATCCAATTTCAGTACACTGCTAAGTAGTCGCCTTTTACAACATGGTTATGTTACTAATTAAAACTTCTTCGCTTGCTACTGAAGATGGGGACAGAGCGCTCATGGGAGTGTCCCGAGTGTTATAATGTCGATTCTTAATTCACCATGATTATCAGGGGAGCATAGGGTCCAATCTCACCTGCCCAGCAAAAATGGGACCCCGGGTACTTACAGTGGGAGGTATAAAATATGGTTAGTTTGTCATAAAAGTCGCGATGCTTTGCTTAAAATTACCATAGGGTCCAGTTTCTGACTACCACTGACATGTATGTCTAACAGGAGAAGATATGTAAAATGGTGGAAAGCTTCTTCTAACGGAGCAACACATTTTACTTCTACGAGTTTAATTGTGTCAGTACCAACAACGTCACCTTATGTTCATTGGTTAGTGTTTTTATCACCCAGCCTGAAACAGGTACCAATAAAAGTCCTGGGACATCAAGGCCCCTGGCCTGGTATGGACCACATGACTTATAGAGGACTGATTGGTCTATCAAAATATGTGAGGCCTGATATTCCTGATGCTGGCAGGGCCACGTAGGGTACGGGAAAAGCAGTGGATTGAGCCGAAAGGTTCATTGCTCTCAAAGAGGCAGGACGAGTGGATGATTCGGGAGATGGCGCAGAGTCGGAAACGTTCAAAAGACTACAACTTTTGGTCAAAAGAGGTGTCGCCAAATAACACTCTGCAGGTAGCCAACAAGATTATTAAGCCAACAAAGAACTTTTGTCAACAGTGGCCACACACTGAGGGATAGGATGGATCTGCACCTGCCTCATGTTCAAAGGATGGATCTGCACCCTCCTTGTGTTCATGGGATGGATCTGCGCCAGCCTCTTGTTCATAAGATGGAGCGGACCCAGTCTGATGGTCAGCGAGAGAATATAACCCAGCCGGATGAATCTTTGAATTGATTTATGTATGTTAGTTATCAGTTGTATTGCTGAAATGAGTCTCCACAGAGTAATCTCTGTTGGACTTTGTATGACTGTCAACAGTTGGTGGAAGAAATTATGTACAGCCATCAATAGTTGGTGGACATTTGTATGTGACTCTAAGTGTCGAAACATTAAAAGACATAATATGCTTTTAAAAACCATACTATGGGGAAAGGTCAACGGCAAGAGAGCAAGGGGTAGATAACGATACAAGTGGAAGGACAACATTGAGAGATGGGTGATCAGCAGTTTGAGAGAGTGTTCAACCAAGACGAGAAACAAAGTGTTGGAGATGTATTGCAGCCAGCCTTTAGTGTGGAGACGGTACCTGATTGATTAATGTGTGCAAGATTGATTATAAACATGTTATGTGGGTTTAAGTTTGTGAAAGTTTGATTGTGAAAATCATAATAAATATGTGAAGACATTTTTTTAAGGTCTTGTAATTTTTGTTTGTGATACTTAACTTTGATTTGAATTGTTCCAGTAAGAAAATGTATTTTAAAATCATTTATTTTTGTATGCTCAGAAAAGTTGATGAAAGCAAATAAATGAAATAAAGTATTTAAAAATAAATAGCAATGTCCTTTATTTAATGAAGATGAAATTCTGTGAAATTTGATAAGGAGAATTCACTGGGAGCATGAGAAATAGTTTTTCTTATAAAAAAAGTGCCTTATCCGGATAAGATTTCAAGCACCGACTATAAACCTCAGCCTGGTTATTTGTGACCTCCAGACTTTTGTCTTGTTTGAGAGCCTGAGTGTTGCATGCACATCCATTTTACAGATCTGGCTTATCTGTATGCAGACTGTTGGTTTCTAGCCCTTTAGGCAGATGCACTCTGACTTTGACGGAAGCTCCCAATTAGTTGACTCTTACAACATGTTTGTTGGGGAAGCAGTAGGTATATTCTTGTTTACCTACAATGGGGCTCTAGATTGCTACAATCAGTGTTTACCCTACAATGGAGCTCTGGATTGCTACGATCAGTGTTTACCCTAAAATGGGGCTCTGGATTGCTACGATCCGTGTTTACCCTACAATGGGGCTCTGGATTGCTACGATCAGTGTTTACCCTACAATGGGACCCTGGATTGCTACGATCAGTGTTTACTCTACAATGGGGCTCTGGATTGCTACGATCAGTGTTTACCCTACAATGGGGCTCTGGATTGCTACGATCAGTGTTTACCCTACAACAGAGCCCTGAAATGCAATGATCAGTGTTTACCCTACAATGGGGCTCTGGATTGCTACGATCAGTGTTTACCCTACAATGGGGCTCTGGATTGCTACGATCAGTGTTTACCCTACAATGGGGCTCTGGATTGCTACGATCAGTGTTTACCCTACAACAGAGCCCTGAAATGCAATGATCAGTGTTTACCCTACAATGGGGCTCTGGATTGCTATGGTCAGTGTTTACCCTACAATGGGACCCTGGATTGCTATAATCAGTTCTTAGCTGCATGCTCATGCTGTGTTATGTGATGAATTCTGGGTTAGTATGACACAGGTGAATGTTTTTGTGTGTGCTCCTTGTAGTAACATGCAATCACAGGAACATGTTGAAGCTAGGATTACAATTGACTGTTAGGAATGTGAGATTGTCGCCTTTGTATCTGTAAGCAGATTCTGTATGACTTTCTTAAGTTCTGAGAGCAGATTCTGTATGAGTTTGAAGATCTGAGAGCTGATTCTGAATGACTTTCTGAAGATCTGAGAGCAAATTCCGTATAACTTTCTTAAGATCTGAGAGTAGTTTCTGTATGACTTTCTTAAGATCTGAGAGCAGTTTCTGTATGACTTTCTGAAGATCTGAGAGCAGTTTCTGTATGACTTTCTGAAGATCTGAGAGCTGATTATGTATGAATCTGAAGATCTGAGAGCAGATTCTATATGACTTTCTTAAGATCTGAGAGCAGATTCTGTATGACTTTCTGAAAATCTGAGAGCAGATTCTGAATGTCTTTCTGAAGATCTGAGAGCAGATTCTGAATGACTTTCTGAAGATCTGAGATCAGATTCTGTATGAATTCTGAAGATCTGAGAGCAGATTCTGTATGACTTTCTGAAGATCTGAGAGCAGATTCTGTATGACTTTCTGAAGATCTGAGAGCAGTTTCTGTATGACTTTCTGAAGTTCTGAGATCATTTTCTGTATGACTTTCTGAAGATCCGAGAGCAGATTCAGTATGACTTTCTGGAGAGCTGATTCTGTATGACTTTCTGAAGATCTGAGAGCTGATTCTGTATGACTGTCTGAAAATGTTTTCTCCATTCACCCTTAAAAAAGCGGTTTGCAGGCTGAGTTGTGGTTTACAGCTAGGCTGTTGATAATATCTGTACCTTTCAGTCCAACATTAAAAGCGCTATTTGGTCGTCTTTTTGGGGTGGCGAAAGCTACAAGGAAAGCTTTGTTCTTACATTATGTAGTCTCTAACGTAAACAAAACAGTAGATACCGTATGCTTACATGATTGTTTATTTCACATTTACCAAGGACAGAGATGGACTGATGAATTTCATGTCGTACACACACACTCACGCACAGTCAGCATTCACACATCTGCGATATAATTCTCTCTCTTTCTCTCTCTCTCATGCGCACACACACAGTCTACATACACACAGCACTGAGAGAACACTTCACACACATATAGTTTACAACATAACGCACTGTCAGAAAAGAACCGCGGTGCTGTAGTAACTAGATGCTTAACTTAGCCTCCAAGGTCATATGTTTGAATCTGTGGGAAGTAATTTTTTTTTAATGATCTTGGCTGCTAGGTCCACAAAGCCTCAAAATGGGTACCAGGTAAAGTCCTGGGAAATAAAGGCGGTCGGCCTGATGTCGACCACATCACCCATTGAATACCGAATGGTCTAAAAATACGAGTCTAGCATGGCTATGATCTGGAGTGGCAGCCCTTTAGCTGATTGAGTTACGTGAATATAGCAACATCAGCTTCATACACAAAAAATATGTTCTGATTGATCATCATCAAGTGCCTTGCTGACTAGCACGTGCGATCGTGCTACTCCCCAATCTGCGATCTGCAACAGCCTATATCAGTTTGTGTGCTGACACGCGTCCATGCCAGACAAAAGGCTGTCAGGAATCTTGCGTTGTCTCCCCCCCCCCCCCCCACCCCCCCTCTTTCTCTGCCTCTCTTTCTCTCTCTGCTTCCACAGGTCTTGTCAGTAGTCATAACACGTCTCAGATTCCCTCTTCTCACAACATGACTAAAAAGTGAGGATTGTCTCTTTCTGATGTTTGTGATAAATTGTCTTCGAGCACTAGGTTGCTCATCTACATTGCTCTGTTTGGTTATTCAAGGCATTCTAAGGATTCTTCTGTAAAACCACGTCTCAAATGTCCCATGAACTTGCTAAAAAATATGTAGGGCTGGAGAGGTGGTTAGAACAAAAAAACACTTTCAGGAGTTCCATGACGAGATCGAGTAATGTAAATTACCCACTGATTAATGGTGATAAAGGACCCACTGAATAATGACGACAAATGAAGTATTAGTTATAATTTATAAATATTCGAATTGCGAAAAGATTACATTCTAAATATGTGTTTTTATTAATCGATGTCACAGCTGCTTTAAATTTATTTTGAGCACAGCATACCACTAAATGGGAAACACGGATTTAAAACATTTAGTCAAATATACATACACATTGATAGTCATGTACAGGTTGTGTGTCCATAGTACAAATATAAGTAGCAAGGAACAATAAATAACATCAAACAAACAGAGGGTACATAAACTGAATATACATGCTAGTAATGCGAAAAACATTTAGTATGATGATAAAACCAGATGTTACTTATGAGCAATTTTCTTCTTCTTTTTCTTCTTCTTCTTCTTTTTCTTCTTCTTCTTCTTAATCATCATCAGCATTATTCTGCTTTTATCTACAAAAGGGGACTGGCACATAGTGTCCTGGTTAAGTAAAGGCTGCAATGTTTGCGTATTTGCAGGCGATTTCAGTAAATCCATAATTGACGACACAAATGTAAAGGATCAGTGGGAGTATTCTGATGTTATCAAGCTATCCAAATAATTTAATACAGATTTGCCTTAGGCCAGTCCTATTTTTATTTATAATGTTTCCCACTAGACCATCAGTAAGTCCTGTGTTTTACTGCTGTACATACTAATCATTTACCCCTCGCCAGTGGTGACTGTTGTGTATTTGTTCTCCTGTTCGTTTGAGAAAGGCCTAAAGCCTAGCTATGTTGTCAAAGCTTAGTCAAATGAAGATGAAAAATTCATATGTTGAAGTTGTTATGGAGCAGAAATAAGCAACGGAATCAGTAGAGAAAGAAGATTATTATGGCCTGGAGAGAATGAGGCACCTGGGTATAACTAGAGTGTCTGGCCGGCTGACTACACTCAAAGGAAAGGCAAGACGGACATTTAACCAGATTGTGACCGGTACAATCAGTATTGGAACTCTGCGCTGGCTGCTGAGGGTGAGGACGGAGCATGCATGGGAATGCCCCGAGTGCTGTGATGTCAATTCTTGACTCAACTCAACTCATAGCCCTAGTCAGTAAATGTTTAGCATTCACACACGCTTCCTCTTAAACTGTACAACTGTATTGGACGTCTGGTCATGCGTAATGCCCCCCCCCCCCCCCACTTTTTTTTGGTCTCCACGCGTATTTGCCCTCCAAGGCTGCACTTTAATGGGATAACAGTGATTGACTCAAAGACCAATAGTCTGATGCTAATCTATTAGGAACAAATCCCAGATAAAACCGTTACACTGTGTGCTGCCCCATGGCTTGGGCGATAAACCCATTGTACTTTGTTGGCGGGGACATGTTATGCCCGGCTGACCAGCTAAACCCTATAACCATAATGTTTTTATACTGAAACCCCCAGGGGCATATAAATCAACGCAGAACACAAAGGCCCCGAAAAGGGGGCTATAGAGTAAAATCAAGTGACGAATGATAGTGAGGATTATCAAATCCGGGCAGATTCATAGGTGCTCCGATTTCCCACTCAGTAGCGCCACAAGCGCAAAACTACCCGGCCCCTTTTCTGTGTTGTTCAGTCTTGTCCCCTTGGTGAAATATTCATTGCTTGCAGCTCCAGGTCCCATCCCATTTTCACCGCAATACCGAACAGGAGATCAAACGCCCAAAGATACCGCTGGGTAAAATAACGTGTGTGTGTGTGTGGGGGGGGGGGGGTGGGGTGAAGGGTAAGTTTGAACATGAGTAAAGTTGAACAGATGGGGAGGACACTGCGTGAGATGCATTCGATAGCCTGGGATCAAACGACTTGGCGTGAGTTGGTTCGAGTCATTTGTTTCTTTGGTTGATAATGGGACAGCGGAAGTAGCAACAACAAACTGCCAAAATAGATACGACTGGAACTAGTGAACATATCATTCAAGAACTGCATATTCTTACATATAAGCACAAACTACTCCATTGTACGCATTTTATTTTCACATTCTAGTTCAGATTTTGTTTGGGAGGCGGGGGGGGGGGGGGGGGGGGGTGTTGAAGGTGGTGATAAGACAAATAAGCCAGGTGTTAATATGCAAACGTAGGCCACAAAGACTGGGTCATTTCCTTTGCTCTTTCACAGTCAGTGGTTTATCATCATCCCAAACAGCTCCCTTACAGAATGTTCAGTTAGCCCAAAGAGCGCCACTGGGCGCCGTAATAAATAAAACAAACTATGGAAAATCACATACGGAAGGGAGATAAAAGTAAAGTAATAATTGTAAATTCTACCCCCTGAACATCTACCGAATATATAGTTGGAGATTGAAAAATGGTGTTACTAGTTATCGAATTGTACATTAGAATAAATATAGGCCGGTGGTCAGTAGGGTCAGCAAGATGGTCATCAGATGAGGGATAGCCAAACTAGCGTCGCTGGTCTTGTACATGAGGTGAGTGGTCAGAACTGTCCGCTGGTTGATCTTCTGAATGGGTCTGTAGTCGTCAACAAGGTGATGGAGCTCTTCATCGTAGAGAGCTCGGAACTTCTCCATCTAGAGAGTTAACAAGGGTCAGTTTAACACACGGAAAACTGTGTAAATTAAATAGTTTGAAGAGAGATTACAAAAAATTAGGTATCCACAAGGAAATGACAGCTAGAAGGGTTCTGTAATGAAAATAATAAAAATATGATAGAAAGTACAATAACCATGCGATTGTCTTGTAAAAAGCCATATACTTTTATATACTATACAGTGGCTTATATACTTCTTGTTCGGTTTTATATCTTTTCTTCTAAAACGTCAGTAACGTTGTTAAGGGAATATAGAATATTAAGCATGTGACATCATGCTGCAGATGAGCAAGGTGACGTCATATGATATTTTTAAAATGGCCACCCAACTTTTGACATGCACCATGGAGGAGCAGCGTTCTTGTACCTAGCAGACACTTCGCTCAATATGTGGTGATATGAACTTGACAGTTGGTCGACAAATGATTCTCATTGCACATCTAACTTTTAGGTCCATAAATGCCCAGATTACCTCCCTTAGTAAATCCTGCAGCGTTTAGCATGACACTAATTCTATGTTCGTTTCTTATTCTTCTTTGGCTTCCTGCATAGTGCTTTTATCTGGCCACATCCCTTTTAACATTTTGTTCTTTCAGTCTGGTCATTATAAACTTGAATGATGTCAGGATGTGTGACGGTCACTCGCAGTCAATCAGTGGTTTTAATTTTGAAAGCCGTTAATGGCGTCATTACCTTGTCGTGAACAGTCTGTCACATAAATCACGCAGTTTCTTAACTTCCTATTACGCTCATACACTTGCTGGACTTACGGAAAGGCTTGCAGAACCAAAGTAGACCTTTATTCCCAACGAATTTCTAGAGGTTTCAGCCCTTCACTGATAATCAAACAGATAACAGAACGTAACTCCTCTTTGGTGCATATCAAAAGTTAAACCATCATCATCAGGTAGCCGTGTTCGTCAGCACAAGGCCTACGCTATACACAGCAAGCCTTGACCTGTACCGTGAGGTCACGTGCTGAACCGCTGGTTCAGTAACAACAGCCTCTCGTCATTTTCCGAATCTGGAGTTCTCACCCGATCAAAGACGCGCAGACGATAAACCGTAACGTTACAGAATTTGCTAGGATCGTTCAGGTAAGTTTATCTACACTACCTGCTCTTCGGACAACTCGATGACATCAGTTCCCATAGTCCATATCACAGACTCATAGCACGGGGGCGTGGTCAAGCTTCCCTGGTAACGGAAGTAGTCGTAACGCGTTGATTTTGGCAGAAGATCAAACACTGGAAAAGTTGGAATTTCCACCCCGGAATCTGAAAAGTAAATAAGTATTTTTTTTTTTTTTCAATAACCAGCTGAGATGTGCCAAGTACACAAATAACACACAGAGCTATATATTCTTTAAGACTGCAGGGTCTTATTTCTATCCCTATTCTCTGATACAAATGTACATACAATGCACCATATATGGTTTGTTTCCCTAATATAGGAATTACAGAGGCTAACGGAGGCGGGTGATATCTGCAGCAAGGAACATCAAGGGTTCGAATGCGGCAGAGGAAGAAGTAGAAGAATTCTAGTCTATGAGCTTTTCTTCTGCCAAGGGCCACTGGATATTATAATAAATTTCGGGAGCCATGCAATAATGTCAACTAAAACATAAGCCAGTTATATTTCAGCCAAACATTTA